ATCCTTGCATGTTGTGGTATTAAGTAGGTATACCGTTAAGAAATGACAACATTTTTATTTCTGGAGCAAGGTCACATTTCACTTTAAGAATTAATTTTGGGAGTCACTGAAAGAGAGAGGGAAGTGGGCTGATTTTGAAGAGGTGACTATCTGTGTCTCATTTCTTGTGCATTTCTGGAGCTCGAGCTGTTGTTTCTATGCTGTAGGGTGTGTGATGCTGTGCTTTGCTGATCTGGGGCAAAAGCAGTCTGTTCAAGTACATGGTTGTAACCACAGAGAAATGTTTCACAGAAATGTTTTTGAGTTAGTTAATAACATGACAGCTTGCTTATATAATGCCCCAAATTAAACATAAAGGTACAGCATTTTGACATTCTCTCACAGTTTCAACTATCTCCACAATCTGCCTGGTAAGCTAACAAATGTAAGTGATGTTTTGATGCATCTGCTGCTTTACCAGTTTGCTGTTAAGTTAGAGGTATTTGTAGTATAAAAGCTCCAGTATTCCCGTACCTATAGCACAATTTTACTTTACATCATAGTGCAATCAAATCCTTGTAAATGTCCTTAAATAAAACATAAATTTGTCTGGCAAAAAGTGGCTAGCAGTAAAATTATGAATGCTGGTTATTTCAGCTGATACCCCATAGCCATTTAATGAAAATACAAAAAATATTTCAAGCATTTAAAAAGTGGCTTATTTTCATTAACAGTTTTTGGCTTTAATTATAGGTAAGTACATGCAAACAGTTCAAATAAATTTAGAACAGAAACCTTGTTACTATTTCAGGAAAAACAGTTCTAATTTGTAGATATTATCTTTAGGTTTTAGCTCACAATTTATGACTGTAGTTTAATTATTCCAGCAGTCTTCTCAGCTAAAGCCAACTAGTGTTTGGTTAGCACTGACAAGGGAAGATCTCTGCTTTGCCTTAAAAATGAGTCTGTCTTGAATGTTTACTTTACAATTACAACTTATTCGAGAAGAAGCTACCATCACCTTAGGGTAAATTTCAACAAACACTGTACTTGCAAGAAAGGTGAAGCTTTCCCCTCCTGATTCCTTAATGATTATCTTGCTAGGGGCTTGGCATTTTCTCCCTCTATCCCCCTCCTCATTTACTTCTACAAGTGCAGGAATAAAAAATTTAAGTTACAGTGAATTGTTTTTAAGACTTGGGCTATATAAATAAGTAGAAGAATATATGAACTGTTTTGTGTGTGTGAAGGGGTGTTGTTTGGTTGGTTTTTGTTTCTTCCTTCAAGACCCTTTCCAGTAGAGCTACCATGCAATTGCAAAATAGCAGGAGAGAAGCTCTACCTGATCCTATGAGAACTACATGAAATCCTGGTAACTGAGGTTCGCTTCAAGGGCGCAATATTTTGCTGTTGACTTCAGTGATGAATATACAATTTAACTCTCTATAGCCTATTAAATGCCATTTATGTGATCTTCTTCTAGACTGCAATTGCAATATACTGCAAAATATATTGTCAGAAGGGATTTTTTTTTTAAGAGTAGTTTGCATATTCTACATAGAACCTACATCGTCTCAGGAGCGACGTGCAGTTTTATATGCAGAGCTCGTTGACTGGGAACTCCTTTCAGTTGTGCTGAAGGCAACATACAGAGATAAATCTGAAAGCAAATTTGAGAAGTCTGTATGCAATGCCTGAGCGACAGAACCATAGCTTTTGGAAGGAGGTCTCCACTGAAATGGAAATGAACACATTGTATTCAAATATGGGCAATCTTAAAAGTTGGGAATTTCTTTTTTTGCGTGCCTTTTCAAGGAAAGCGATGGCAATTCTGAAAAAGCTGCTTTTTTCAGTAATTACTTTGTGCAATGTTAATAACACACCTTATGAGATGTTTACTCTATTTAATAGCAGCAAAGCTAGAACAATATTGTGAGTGTTAGTGACAGGATCTGTGCAACTTAAGACATCTGACCTTTGCAGAGCAGAGCTATCAGTTACACAGAGCCAAATGCTTCTGTGCACATGAACGTGTCAGACTTGCACAAATGTTTCCAGTAGAGAAGGCTATAACTTAAAACTGACTTTTAATGAGACTGAAAAAACCTGTACAAATTCCTGTGTACTTTTCAACATAAGGAGTACTTTCCAAGGCTATGATAACATGTGGTTATCATTGCTGTTACCTGAATACAAAATTGTTGTGCTCAATTTAAAATAATGGAGATAGAACTCAAAAAACAGTGTAAGAGAAGCTGAAATCTTGTCCAGCTGGAGAAAATGAAGGGTCACAAACCATGCCTGCTTGTAAATAAAAAAGGCAATAAATAATATAATATACTAGGAATAACTAGTAGAAGGCATCAAAACTAACCAAATCTGTGAGGCATTTGCTGCTAACAGGAAACTGTTGAAGGCCCTGAAGATGAAGGCCAACTAGGAAGAACTTCAGAAGAAACTAAGCAGCAGATGAAATTCTGTGTGGAAAAATGAAATTCAGGGAGACGGGGAGGGGGGGAACATGACAGTAGCTTCACAACGAGAGGATGAACTCGGAGTTGTCCGTTACCACAGGGGCACGCGGTCTCAGAGGTGTGGGCATCAGCGCAGTGCTTGATGAGCATCCGAAGTTTACAAAGATAAAAGGGTGGACGGAATGGGGAAACCAGTTACATGAGCTACGAGGAAAGCGATAAAGGCCCATGAAGTGCCGTAACGATACTGCGCTGCCTGCCCGCTCCCTGGCAAGCAGCGGTGTGGGGAAGGGGCGCGGGCGAGGTGCTGTGGGAGAGCCCCTCGCTGATGGAGAGGTGACCGTGGTGGCGGCGGCCGTTGCCGCGCTCCCTGCCGAGGGCGATGGCGGGCGCCAGCACGGACCGGAAGGCTGACGAGGCGAAGGGGGCCGAGGCTTGGCCAGCCGCCCAGCAGCCCCCTGCCCCTTTAAGAGCGGGAGAATGTTCTGGAAGGTGGTGGGGGGGGCGTGTTTCAGTGGCCCTGTTTAAAATGTATCTTACAAGGTAACCGGGTCTTTTTGGTTATTGGTTATTTTTGTTCTATAAAAACCCAATTGTTCTTGAAATGTCAGCGGACGTGAATGCCGTTGTTTGCATTGTATAAGCATCTCATGTTGTTTTCCGAGATTCAGTGTGATCGGTCTCGCCGCGCGGTTTGTTTGCCGTCGTTGGAGACTTGGTTGCGTTGATGTGGCTTTTCAC